GGGTTCCTGCACGGACGGAGGGGCACTGGTCAGCGTGCCCTCATCCTCCAGGACGCCCCAATCCACACCGACAGCAACCCCGTCGTCGTCATCATCATCATCATCGTCATCATCATCATCATCGTCATCACTGCTTACATCCTCTCCTCGATCCTGTGCTTCATGCTTCCGCTGCTTCTCCTATTTCTTCTGCTCCCTTGCCTGCTTGTCCCACTCGGCCGCGATGCGATTCGCCGTTGCCACGACATGGTCCTTCGGCAATGGGACCGGGCAGTCCTTGAAGATTAGCCTCCTCGGCTGGTCCTACCATCCCAAAAGTTGGTATCAAAAGGTCAGAAACTCAAACGACAAGAGAAGCACGGGGAAGAAAAAACTTACAAATTCCAAAAACCCTGGTTTCGGCCGCATTGGGGGATGCCCCGGCACCGGATACACGTGTTCGAGGGTGGAGCCGGTGGTGTCCTTCGAAAGCTCCATCGCCTCCTTGATACGCTGCGCCACCTCGGAGGGAGCAAGCACCTCATCAACGAGCACCGTTCCCTCGAACGACTCTCCAGGAACCATTCGATACAGGGGAAGCGCGCGCGCCATCAGCGGCGCCACCCTCCTCGCATGGTAGGTACCAATAATCCCCGACCCCTTCATGCCCCAGACCTTCAGAGTATGAATGGTGGCGAGAAGGTCGGCAAGGTGTTTCTTCGCCAGAGTCGGGTAGCCCCACAGCCACGGCTCTGGGGCCTCGTCGATAAGACGCCCAGAGTACTTTGGCAAGGTGGCGCTCAGGTCATCCTTGACGTAAAACCACTACGAATGCCACCCCTTATTTGAGGTCGACAGACGCATCAGCGGGTAGTCCCTCGACCGAGTGGGGCGCAGATGAATACTGGCACAACCCATCGGCACGTTCACATCCTTCCCCCCAATCTTCCTCTTCGACAAACTGACGGTGAAGAAGTGCTGCCACAGATCGAAGTGGGGATCGATCCCCAAGAAACCCTCACACAGGGCAACAAACGCTGCCATGTGCTGAACACTGTTGGGGGTAAGATGCTGCAACTCCACTTGGTAATAATCCAGCAACCCCCAAAGAAATCTATGCGCGGGTACGGCAAATCCCCGCTCATGAAAGACGGCAAAGGACACGATGTACCCTTCGGGCGACGCTGGCTCACTCTCATCCCTAGGCAGCAGCCACTCCCCGACGGGGGACAGCGGGCGGAGGAGGCCACGACGGACGAGGCCCTCCAAACACCGAGTAATGCCGGATCTGCCCCACAGCTCCATCGAAACACCGGGAGGAAGATGGGTGTGAGCTCAATGGGGGTAGCAGCGCGAATGCGAGCTCGACGGCGGCAGTGAACGAGGACGCGGACCCAACGGCGGCAGCAGTATTGGCGTGGGAAGCTAGGGCGATTGGCGGCGAAGGCTGCTGATGCGAAGACGAGGGGGCGGAGTACGGAATCCTGGGGGCAAACCCTACGGTTTTATAGTGGCGACGGATGCGAGAAGGGCAACCATCCGCTCGATCTCCGGGCCTGCCACGCGCATCGTCGCGTCATGTCACGGGACACGTGCCTACAATCCCTATCCGCTCCCACCAAAATCGTGCCGAACGGTTCACCTCCCCAGGCGACCGGACTCTTCTCCAAATAGAGGAGACGTGGGCCAGAAAAATTTCCTTCTCTGGTCCGTCTAGGCCCAGAAAGACCGGGGTCGGCCCAACCATCTCGACGGACGTCTCAAACAAGGGACGGGCCCATGAAAGACAAGGACTCCGGTACGTGAGCACCAATGGGACTTCAACTTCTTAAGTCAAAACCCCGGCCAAGCTAAGCCCGGGCGACATCCCCGCAAACGGGACCCCAAGGTTTCCTCAAAGGCTATCCAGATGAGAAAAGCCGAATCTCCTTTGTCCCTACCAGCGGAGGGTCGAAAACACCCAGGCGATTTCACCCGAATCACCCGGGGCTCGAGGCTACACCCGCCAGAAAAGGCTCGCAGCACCCTCTGGCAAACCCGAACACCCTCTAGCGAGCCGAGACAACCCCGGGCGATTCTACCCGAATCACTCAGAGGCTCGGGGGCTACTGTCGGGGATCTAATACTGGGATACCCAATGAGGTAGAGTTGATAAGCACCAACGACATTCCCAATCGAACAGGAGCGCAACGACTTCGCCTCGTCCGACCCCCGAGGGCCAGACTCCGCCTCGTCCGACCCCCGAGCACCAGACTCCGCCTCGTCCGACCCCCGAGGGCCAGACTCCGCCTTGTCCGACCCCCGAGGGCCAGACTCCGCCTCGTCCGGTCGACAAGGGTTGAGCACCGCCTCACCTGACGTCCTCACCCTGCCCCTCCATGATGGCAGGAACAGGGTAAGATAGGACGTTAGAGTCAAACCACGGAAGCAAGGACCATGCCCTGCTCTACTGACAAGTACCATCGAAGTACGATGGGACGAGTGCTTTAGGCCCTGCCAGACATGACAGAGCCTGTGTAGTACTGTAGGCACCGGGTTTTACGGCCTACAGTATTGCGGGCGCCGCCTTCAACCCTCGAGCACGGAGCCTGACACAAACACCGCAATAGGACTCACGTCCCCGATGCTGACAAAGCGTGCGGGTGCCGCACCGTTCGCCCCCCACAGTATCGCAGGCCGGCACTCCTGCCCGACCCGCCGCCCGCAGAGGCGGGATGGGATGTGACCACTTGCAGAACGCAGCATCATCAGCACACAAGTACCCGGCGAACGTGCCAACCTCTGACACCAGCTGGTCGTATCTGAGGCTGGCTTGGAGGAAAAGGAAGACCCGAGCCCTTCAAAGGACCTTCTATACCCTTGATATTTTTCACCCATCTGTAACCCCTGCTCCCCCCCCCCCCTCGTCTATAAAAGGGAGGACATGGCTCCCTATGAAAAGGAGGACCCAAACAAATCGACTTTCAATGGACAACTCACCTACAGATGAGCTCATAGAGCATTCAGTTACACACACAGCCAAGCCGCCGCCAGGCCCTTGGCATCCTTTCGACCCCTCCATCAAAGACCTGGGACCCGTCCCTCTCTCGACCGTTTGTACTCCCTACTACGAACCATATTCGGTGCTAATAATACAAGCAGCAGCAGCAGACTGGACATAGGGACATTCGGCCCGAACCAGTATAAACCTTGTGTCCTTTAGCACATCATCCGGGCCTAACGTGTATCTATTATAAATTCACTCGCCGGTGTTTCTCCGAAACGCCAACAGTATTGTAATGGCTTTTTTTTTTCCTTTAAACGCCACTGAGTTTTCCCCAGGAATATATAATTGACTGCATTTTTCATGCACATTGAGAACCCACACAGTAAAAGGGAAAACAGCATGACATAGCCCTTTCTAATAAGCATTTTAAGTCAACCGAGCCCTCCAATACGTGTGGAGTTCACGGCATAAAGTCAGCTTCATCATGTGTAAATTAAAAATTAGCAGACTTGACTAATGGCAACTCCAAGGCATTCAATTTAGAAACTCACTTGGGATGAAAAAAGCTACAGATTTGAACACGCGGTTTCCCAAACACGTTTATGCGGACTTGGCAGACTATACGCAGCGACGACTTAACTGTGACAAAGTCTTGTAGTCCAGTACTCCAGTTGATAAGTACGCGTTCTTAGCTTGCGTTCTTAACTGTTTTGGGGATTAAGATATACATGTGAATATGTGATGTATCTTTAAATCATTCTTAGCTTGCTTTTTTTATCTTCAGTGAACATAAGTAATTGAAGTGTTGTGTCTAATCGTTTTTGCATTGTTGTTTGGATTTGAGTCCACCTAATTTCTAGAATTAGTATGTAAATGGGGTATGTGTTATTCTTTTTATCAAGATTGTTTCAATATGGTTTACATCATGGATTAAGTCATCATCGCAATTTGGTATTTAATTTTGTTTCCTAATAATTTTATTTACCATTCTAGCTGGCAAGGTTTTTAAACTGATACTTCATTCAACTGCACTCTAAAAGGCATAGTTTGCTAAGGTTTTTCATAAATCCATACACTTGTCTCCCCCTTTATTATATATGAGTTTCGAGGTTTGTTGCAGGTTGGGAGTAGCAATACGGACGTACAGATCATGATATGCATGTCCTAACACATTGAATAAACACATGTTATAATAACAATGTTTAGACATCAAGGTCTTGTTTTTGCCTAACACTTGGACTGTTATGTTGCAACCCAAGTTTGTCTATCGTTACCATCGTAGGAGACTTATTTCATTATTCAACTTAGATGATGGTTTCTTCCAAGCTATTTTTATGATAATGTTCTTGCCATCTTTTATGCTTCAGTTAAATCTGTATTTTGCTAAATTCAATAGTTAAGTACAAGTAATGCTCAAGAATGACGTTGTCATTCTGAGGGGTTATATTGAGCTTTCTTCGATATCGAAAGAGAGAAAATCCATACCATTACGATTAGTATGTGCAAAATGAGTTAATGACGCAGTACCGTTGTCCACAAAAGCACAGAAAATTGGCAGTGTGAAAGAAACGAAAGAACGTGAATCGTTTCATCCAAATTTGACCAAATCATGCCGTTTTATTTTTCAAATAAAGCATTTGAAGAAAACTCGGTTCAGCAGTCACAGGCAGATTATTACCTACGCACATTCCAGGTTTCCAGCAGAACACCACAGGCACATGATCAAATGGCTGATTTACGATAGATAGGATCCATTCCGGCCTCCCAATATACATACAAGGCCCCATAATATCAGGTACCATGATGCTACCAAACTATACATACATATACTCTATTATTATTCATGCAATGACGATGCATACTACGAAACATCCATATCCACAATTCATCTCCCCATTATCCCGGAGCAATGTCACCATATCCCGATGGCAAATTGGCGAATCGTTACAACTGCGGCAGCACCTTGTGCTTGGTGTAAGGCCTATTTGCTGGTAGCAAGAGCTGCCTTCTCCACTCTCCTTTTGGGTTGCTCTCTTCATAAGATGTCGTCAAACATCAGGGACAAGACAAGCCCCTGCACGAATTGGCTCCTCCTGGTTCTCTCCTCCTTGACCTCAGGGAGCAAAGGCTCATCAACACTAGCAAATATCAGACATAAGTGAGTTCTTATGCGTGACATATAAGTCATTGATAAAGAATTGTTCATACAAATACTATCTACGATATATGTTCCACCATGTACTAAGACATCAAACGGACTGCCCACACTATTAAGTTTATATTTTACCCACTACGAACTGTGAAGCAATGACATAACTTAGGTATTTTATATCTATGGCTTATAACAGGAGCAGTCTAGTCGGTGTCATTAGCTCTTTTCTTATTTTCTGTCATGATTCGACTTTATAAAAAAAAATGATATCAAATTATTACTCTCAGGAAATAAAAGTAAATGAATTACATTGCATGTGAACATACCTCTCTGCTGCTTTCTGCTCTAAGTTATCACTTCCCATTTCTGTCTCAGCCAAGGACTCTTTCTTAGCATCCTTTGGCAAATCTACTTCATAAAAGTTACCAACAAAAGAGGACAGCAGAGGATCAGGCACTGTGCTGACTGGGGCAGCACGAGACGATCCATTTATCCTCTCATGTAAATCTCTCTTCAATAAGGCAAGTGTTGAATAACGTGCCCCAGATGAACCTTTATGATTTCTCCACTTATCCTGCACATGAATTTGAGGAGTCAAATAATGAAAGTTTGATCTAGTTTCCAGATTTTAGTCAAGAACAAAAATTATATATGATTCACAGTATATATAAACTGAAATAATTGACTTATAATGCATGTAAAGGTAATGATACCTTCAAGAAACCTCGATGCTTTGAGCTGATGTGGTCAAACAAGTTCTTATCAACCTTATCTGTGCAAATTGGGCACACCTGAAAGAACAAAAGCACAGAAAATTAGCTACTGAAAAATGGTACAAACTTGTGGTATACTTCAACAGAAAAGACATTTCTGCTGCCTTGATCTATACAACAGAGGGAGCAAGAACAAGGCATGGATTACTTTTACAACATTCAACTATTTGTGGAACATGGACATTTAAGGCACATAATTTCATTGAACATGCAACCGTCTGCATAGCAGAACATATACACAAGCTTCAACTGCATATAAACTACTGAGCGTGTGATCAAACCATAGTTCAAAGATTTCAACATCCCAATTTAAAGATAATAATAAACAGAATATGAGGTCCAGAAATTATTCTGTCCAATGATAAAATTCACGCCAACAACTCCTTCCTTCCCACAAGGCCTCCTATATTGAAACTTGTTGGCAGATCTGATTGTAATAGTTACAGTCACATAGCACACTAGCTATTGCATTGTTAGTGATCTAACTCACTAAAGGTTTGAGTATTTCTAACTAACACTTTATTCCATAGTCAAAGTGATAACTCACTAAAAGTTAGAATATTTCTAACTAAAACTTTATTCCATAGTCAATATTGGGGTGTTGATTATATCGTTTTTATACCAACTAGAGGACGGTAAAGGTGGGTGTTGGATCCATAGGCTCCACATCAATGAAAAATAAAATGCCTTTTCTTTTCCATAACTTCTCTACTACCACAAAGAACAGCCTGGTTTGAATTGAAGCGGCACAGGACTGATCAGCCAGTTGTAGGGTTGAACAGCACGACTGAACAGCTAGTTGTAGGGCTGTACATGGATTAAGCTGCACAAAATAAGAATAGCATAAATGCCATCCACTAATCCAGTATAATAGCAGGTCGGATAGCCTTAGTGCTTCACGAAAAACAATACTTCAACAATTTCAGAAATAGAAACAAGTGAAGACCAAAATTGCATGACCAAAACAGAAAGTGATGACCAAAATGTTTAAGATATCGATTCAAAGATGCACATCACCCAATTTAATGCAGCTATCAATAGTCTTTAGAACACTGGGTGCTAAAGTAGCTAGCATGCAGTGTTTCGCCAAGTTGAATAATGGAAAAAAAAAGTAAGTCGTACAAAACTTCCATAAACATCCACTGGGAATAAATAGATCATTTCCTGATACTAGGAATCACTTGCAAATAACAGAAAGTGGGAAGCAAAATCTAACACAATTGCTCAGTTTACATGGTATACCATCATTCAAAGATGCATGCTAACTTTATAACATATTTCTTACCACAAAACATGAAACTAAAGCAATCAATAACATAAATATTACCCACTCTAAAATCAATAATTGCTGTATCATAGAAGAAATTTTCACATGTACTAATTTGCCAATTCCTTACAACAGCAGTACTACTGCAATTACATTGCACAAGCACTAAACATTAACAAAATGCACACAACCACAGCCATAACGAATACAACCATAATATAGTGTTAGTGGCCCAACATTGACATAGCAGAAATAGGCAAATAGCAAGCACATCACGGCATATTTTTTGGGCTAGAAAATATATGTGCAAGCAATAAATGAACATTTATCACAACAAGGGTGAATTTAAAATTTACAATGCTATAAAAATCAAGCCCAAAATTGTGAAACATTTTATCCAAATCCAACAAGCCACAAAATTGTCTTATTTACACCCAACTCAAGAATACAACTATGTTATGTGCAGTCATATTCAATGCTTGACACAGTATGATAGTGAGGTTTGGTCTTCATGTTTTGATCTTGATATTGCCCACTGTCAAATGAGTAACATTGTCATGAACCACACAATTTGATGTTCAATTTGTGGTCTAATGCTTAATAAAATCTGTGACTCTAAACTAAAGGTGACTGTTAATTCACTAGTTTGTAATCATGTTCGCAGTATTTTAAAAATGTTAAAAACAAATGAGATTTTTAATAAAAAACTATGGAGCAGAACTACCGTGGTATCTTCAGAAGTATCAATGCCACACTGTTGTTACTGTGATCTAGATTAATGGGGGCATTAACACAACACACTTGCCAACAAACCAATGATGAAATGCACAAATATTTACCAAAAGTAGATGAAACTTTTGGTTTTTAACCAAATAGTCAATATAATTCATATGCCAAGATAGAAGTGACACGCAAACTCCTACATGTATATCATCATCTCAACTACATGAGCATCACACCTAACATCAGCTAAGGCATCATATGTATATCACAATGCAGGAGGGACGGCAGTATTAACTAGACTAGCAGAATATGCACAGCCCAACAAAACTAGAGAGATTCAAATCTCAACAAGGAAAAACAGCTAATGACACAATCAGTATAGTAGCCCTTAATTCCACAAAAAATTCCACCCTTATGTCTCAAATTATTGCTGTAAAACTCTCAAGGAACACTCCAACAAAACCACATAAAATATTCCCATCCAGTGGCGCTAAGGGGAAACCCAAGCTTGCAAAGAAAATACCCCAAACCACACAAGTTTATATCATTACATAAGAACATGGATCATTATACTGCCCCAAACACTAAGATCTTCTAATTACTTCTTAGCAACTAACAAAGAAATGTTGCTACTTGAAAATAGATTAATGGAGACATTGCATGCAAAGTGCATGGAAGACTGTACTTCGCCACAAAACAAGGGAAATAATGAAAAGGTTACAACAAACAAGTCAAGCATGCAACCAGTTATTTAACATAGAGCAAATGTTTTGGCTGAAAAAAATCATTAAAAGAAAAAAAACTTTTAACAATTAAGAAGCAGAAAGCAGAAACTGATCCTACAATTAAAAGCACAATTTCCAAACAAAATAAATCACATTGGATGTAATGTTAGCCCAACCACACAATGACACAAACACTACATCATGGACCATTAGAAATGCCTAATATATACATTAAAGGGCATTGTTAAAAACTGTAATCTAACAACACCAACTGGACATTCAGGGTACAGTAAAACTAAGGGAGAAAAACTTTCATAGCTGAAGACAGGTGAAGCAAGCTGATATGCAATGCGCTGAAGCAGAGGCACCAAAGATTCCTAACAAAAATCCCTTCTTTGCATCTGAAACCAACTTAGTCAACGCATCATGCATATGAGCACGAACACCTTAGACACCCTAAAAAAAGATCCTATCTTTGCATCTGGTATATTATCTAAACAGCAAAATAAGAAGCTCAAACACTTTCTATAAGCGCAGAAGCAACTTAAAAACCAAAAGCACATCTTTGCAACGAAAATTATAACCTAGGACTAAAATCAGGCTCAAACGCAGACAAGAAAACTAGAAAAACACAACATTTGCAACTGAAATCTCAATCTTAACAACTAAAAGGAGCCCGACAAAACGCTTGGTATATAAACATAAGCACCTTGTTCACTGGAACAATCCCATCTTGGGGTCTAGAATCATAGCTCTGCAAATAAAAGCAGCATAGCAAGCTTGGTACAAAAGCAGGCATAACTTGCACAGCCCAGAATTCCATCCCAACAGCTACTAGAAATCCCAGAACTAAAATGAGCTGATACATGCAATGCTGTACTAGCAGATGTGTCTTTCACACCCCAAAATCCCATCTTTACAACTACCAATCTACCACAGATAAATAAAAGCAGCTCAATCACACTCTGTGTGCAAGGAGCAGGACCATCCGCGCCCGAATGATGACATCTTTCCATGTAAGATCTAACATTGACAGCTAAATCAGGTCAAAGACGCAGGCATTCCCCATACCCTACCGAAATAAAAGCCCAACAATGTTCCGCGGAACATCATGGGATGAACAACCTACCGTCTGCTGCTAGAAGAGCTCCTAGTAGATAGAAAAGAGTAAAAATCCCATCTTCCCATAAGAGAACGAGATGAAATTACCCCGGCATTGGCCTCCGCGTGGTGCTCGTCATCCATGTGGCACCACAGCCCCACCGCGTCCAGCTCCTCGCCGCAGAACGGGCAGGGCAGCTCGTCCCCGAGCCCGGCACCCGCCGCGCGCTCCTCCTCCTCCTCTTCCTCCTCCTCGTCACTCCCCTCCACCTCGTCGAGCCCGATCAGCGCATCTGCGGCAGCACAAAACCCCATCAAAACCTCCATAAGAAATCCTCGAAACTCCGCACAGGACCCGCCAAAATCCCTCGAAATACCAGGGGGGGGTGGGGGAAACGGATATCTGACTCACCGAAACGCGTGCCGCGGTGGTGCCTGGTTTTGGCGGCGGTGAGGCGCTCGTACACTTCCATGTCCATGGCGGTGGCGGCGACGGCGCCGGAGCAGGGGGGGGTGGGGGGGGCGCTCTCGGCCGAGCTGGGGGAGTCCCGCCCGAGCTTGTGCGGGCGAGCGGGGTGGTGGCGGCGGCAATCGTAGGGCTCAGGCGCGTAGGCTAGGGTTTTGCGGCGGATGCGGGAGAGGGATTTGTAGGAGAGAGAGGGAGACACCGACAAAGGGAGGGACGAGAGAAGCGTGGGTGGCTGGGAGGTTTGGGCAGCATTGAGTGAACACGGGAGCTCTTGCTTCGGGAGGAAGGCGCCTCTTTTGCGGAGACCCCCCTCGAGTTACTTGGAATTCTTTTGCGTGTTGTGTTCGGCTCCTGAAGTTCAATGCTGGCCAAGTAACCCGCCCGTTATGCGTCAGCAGTACAGCACTACACGTTAGGCTTGCACAACTCGTGGCAGCTGTATATAGCATCATCATTCATCATTTTGCAAAACAACCAAGCCGGTGAAGCCTTCCGAGGCTCTCTTTGCCACGATTTTTTTGGCATCTCTAAAAACCAGTGAAGCTAGAAAAAATCACATTTTTATGGCTTCGGCTTCTAGACCAAAACGGATTCAGCTTCACTTTTTTTTACTTTGGTCCCGTTCGGCTTACCTTAAATCCGGCTTGTTCGGCTTTTTTTTTTTCAGCCGGAACGGTATTTTTCTCTCACAACATTTCAGCCAGAACAGTGTTTTTCAGCCACTTTCAGCCAAATTTCAACAAGCCGAACGGGACCTTTGTTTTAGCTTCTCAAGCCGTTTTCACATACGAGTGTTTAACAAGGCTTCTCTCAAAAAAAAATCTTAAAGACACAGATGAAGCCCTCTAGAAGCCATACCAAAAAGGGTCTAAGAGGCTTCACCGGCTCATGGAACTGTTGCTACAGTGCAAAGAAAAATGGAGAAGCTAGAGCCAGCACGTGATGTGTCAAAGAGGCATTTAGTCTTTTTACCTTGATCCTTGTGTATACGAAGAATCAATGATGGTGACATGAATTAAGGGGCAGGAAAACAACATTTGTGTCTCAAGGTATGGATTGTTAAGAAACATAGTGATCGGTAAACAATGGCGAGAGTAGGAATCAAAGCATAAAGGATGTAGGAAAAACTCATTTTGCATCACATGCATAGTATGGGTTGTTAATAAGAAACATGGGCATCTACAAAAAGAACTCCCACTACTTATATAAATGGTTTTTGCTATAATATTTTGTCGTCGGTTCATAATGAACAAGCAGTGAACATCATTGTCACCACTAGTTTGTAATGGAACCGACGGCGAAAACCGATGCTGCTTTCATCGCCAGCTTATAAAACTAGAGAGCTTGGACATGCATTCATTTGGGTTTTATCTCACTCTTCCGCCCCACTTTATCTCTCCTACTCTCATTCTTAGCCACAGCATCCTCCCTGCCCCCCCCTCCGCACCTCCTCTTCCACCTTGCCTCCCTCTACACACATCCCCTCTGCTATACGGTCGCCAACCCCACCCGCATCCTCTCTGACCTGGACTCCTTCTCCATCAACATCGTGCTCCACATTGTTGTATCCTCTCCGCACGCTGATCTTGGGGCAGTAGTGGATTTTGAATCCGAGTAATGGCGCATGATGTAGGAAGAACATGGGTGATGGAATCTTAGCAGGAGAGGGGCACACAGTACCGTCGGTTAGATTTGAAGGTAGCGGTGCTCCCATGTGGACGGGTGCACGATTCCCTAGGTCATGAGTCACTTGAACCAAGGAAGGTGGGTTCATGCTCGACGAGGACAGGAAATCACCCTTGAGCTATTCCTCGGTCCGATCTTGTGTTCTAGTCAAAGAGCAGCATGGAGTCGCCCCGCGACCTAGGTTTGGCAGCACTCGCGGGGTGTGTCGCACTTATTCGTGAAGCTATTGGTCGTCCAGATTGATCTCACAATGGCCTAGGTCTAGCCGCTCCTCAATGTCTCCCTCTTCTTCTCTCTCATGTCGTTCTCCATTTCGGATCTACTAGCAAGGGAGGCTCTTTGTAGTGGTATGGTGCTCGTGGAGAAGAAGCTCTAGGCTGATGTTGCTCGGATCTACGAGAGCTCGGAAGCAAGGGCGGTTTGGTGGAGGCGGTGGAGGGCTCAGTGGGCTTCAAGGAGGCGGCGGCAGTTTTTTTTCAAAAAAAAACATTCAGTTATCACTGCAGTTTCCAAATGATGGTGATTATCTTTGTTTTCAATATAATGCCGACTATCATCGTCAATATAGCACAAACAACGGTGATAGGGCCAACAGACTCTCTCTCTATATATCCTTCCTAATTGCGAGGAATAGAGATTTTGGTAAAAAAAACTACCCTCCAACAGCTTCTATAAATGGTTATCTAGATATAGCCATCTTCTATTCTGGATTTTTCGCTAGCCAAAAATAGAAGACGAGAATGACTCTCTAGAGTGCGCATGAGATATAAAAAAACTGTTGGAGAGCAAAAAGATATAAAACACGGTTTTTATCTAAATGACTCTAAAATGATGATTTAGAGAATGAGATTTAGAAAGGCTCTTGGAGATGCTCTTATCCACCACCAATTGTGATAGCTATCTTTACTAGTGTCCATTACCATGCCAAGCCAACATTTGTGGTGGTATGGGGAAATAGGTTAGTTTTTGACGTAAGAAAAACAGATTAGTTTCATCCTGATGCAACTACCCTCTCACGTGTGTTATCCATATATAAACCAACAATATGAAACAATGTATATTCCAGTGCACTATTCTATCCATAACTAAATATATATTTTCTTTTGGAAACACAAATATGAACGTCCATAGGTCGACTTCATGCTGATACACTGATGCTAAGTGTTCTTCATTTTAAAAATTATTAATACGGTGATGTTGGATATATTATGGGCTTGACCCATATAATATTTAATAAATCAAATAAACTCTATGACCCGTAATAATGCGTGATATATGGTTTAATACCGTACGGAATTTTGACAAGACGTTGACTCAGTTTATATGGTTGAATATTGTCTATCTATATTGAGAAGCTAAGAAAAGGACGTGGGTGTGCCACACGCGCGCACACCGCGGCCGCCGCTGGCCGGGCCGTGGGCGAGGTAGGCAGGCGAGCGGACGGATATGTTGGAGGCGGTTTCATTGCGGGAGTTTTGATCTCCTTCTCAGCCTCTTCGTTTCCCCACCGCGAGCATATATTCTGAGCTCCTCCGTCAGTCATTTCCACCTCATATTCAGCTGCTCTCTGGTTCTCCCCAACCCAGAGTAGGGCTTCCAGAACGCCTGGAACTGGGAGAGTATGGCTTTCGGAACGCCTGCCGTCTTCGAGATCACCTGCTCGGGTGAATGGCGGCAATCATGTTTTGGGGAGTGTCGTTGACGGCACGACTACTCACTACGTCTACGTCCTCTTCTTCTCGGCGTTAGCGCACGTTGAAGGCCCTTCGGTGATTGGCACTACTCGCTACATCTACGTCCTCTTCTTCCTGGCGCTAGCGCACATTGAAGGCCCTCCGGTGATCGGCACTGCTTCCCGTCTACACTGCAACGAGCGGGACGACTACACCAACAGGCAGTATGTCGACTAGTGCATCCGGCTCTTCAGTTGGGTATGTCTCTGTTCTTCGCTATCCAGTAAGGTCCTGTATCAATAACTTGCTGGTTAGTATCATATACATGCTATTCATGCTTAGTTCACACAAGCACATATATGATGTCACAAACCTTTTGGTTATCGCTATTTTCTGGATTAAATTGCTATTGAAAATGCCTAAATATCTAACGATCCAAAAATGTGATAGGCAATTTTCGGTAGTTGGCTTTGCGGGTATGCTGAAACCGAATGTTTTTTAGGGCACTCACTGTAAGAGGTGACGGCAGAGGTGCATTTTAAGGTTGACTACTATGCACTGCTACTTTGTTGCTGAACCTAGGGCTATTGGGCCGCATACTACTGAGGAGGAGCGTGCGTTCCAACATGCTGACACTATGTTTAAGGCAACAATTTTGAGCGTGCTAGGAGACTCCATAATGGATGCATATATGCCGCTACAGACTGGTAAGGCCATGTGTGAAGCACTTGAGGCCAAATATGGAGTGTCTGATGCTGGTTCTGAGTTGTATGTCATAGAGCAGTTTCATGACTACCGGATGGTCGATGGCTGTTCTGTAGTGGAACAAGCTAATGAGATACAAACTGAAAGCATCTAGACCCCTAGTTGGGTTTCGATGATTAATGACAATACATGATTACTATGACTAACGTGTGTTTTGCAGAGACAATTAAGTTAGGTCATGGTAATGGAGATCGATTGGGCAATCATGGTGGTCATGCCCCTACGATGGAAATCGTTTCAGTTTTCAAAGGATGGACTAGTTCTAAGTGTAGTTTAGAGTTGAAGAGACACTTAGAGTAGTTTAGAACTTTGTTTTTTCCTTTGGCCATACTATTAAGGGGGGGTATGGATGGTAGCTTGACCTAGGTGAGTCTAGTGGGTTAGGTGTGGTGCACACTTGCTAAAACTAACACTAGGTAGCTCCAAAATAGCCCTTAGATCCAATGGAGCAAACTTCATTTACGTATGATTGAGAGTTGGAAGTGAATGGAGGGTCAAATGCTGACCGGACGCTGGTTCCGGGTTGACCGGACGCTGGCGCAGAGTTCGGTCAGTTCATTTGATCAAAGTGAAATCGTCTGGCGCGATCGGACACTGAGAGGTGAAGTGATCGGACGCTAAGGGCCAGCGTCCGGTCGACTCCAGTAAGGTTCCAGAGAGGGAAAATCACGACTAGACGCGTCCGGTCACACTTTAATTACTGAAGTTCGGGGTGAACTGACCAGAGTGTCCGATCAACATGACCGGAGCATCCGGTCACCCCGTAGAGGCACATAACGGTTCGTTTTTCAGCCGGTGTTATAAATACTTCCTCCATTCGTGTGTAGGGTACTTTTGCTAATTCCAATAGCTGAGAAACACCTTTGAGAGTGCCAAGAAGAGCAAG